AACTTGCTAGAGCAGCTCTTAGAATGCAGGAAAACACTTATGTTTACCAGTTTATGAAAGGATATGATAAAGGACATGAATCAACAGCCAGATGAAGAGATCCATAGGGTGAGGCCCCGAACAAAGGAATTTCTGTCCTCGTGGAGCTTGAGGCCTGGCTCCGTGGCATGCGGAAGCCTTCTGGTTTCTGATTTCCCAAGCATGGAAGCTCTCCTAAAAGTTGTCCTTTTTGGGATTTATGGAAGCTTTATTACACAGTCTCACTGGACTAAGCCATTTGCCATTGGCTGATTCAACCTGCAGCCGCTCCCCCTTCTCCAGGGAGGGTGGCCCTGAAAGTTCCAACACTTTAATCCCTTGGTTGGTCCTCCTGGCAACCAGCCCCTACCCTCGTGTGGGGTCCAAAAGTGACCTTCATTAATAAGAAGACACCCACTTCACCTTCATGGGCTCTGAAGCATTTACAGGAACTGGGGAGGAAGACTGAGTATATCTGAGGAATAATATAGTTTGGTCATCTGAATGACAAAATAGAAATTTCTTATAAATCATTAGATCAGACTCCAGTACAATGTTGAATAGAAGTGTCAAGAGAGGACATTGAATTGTGGGTTGTTGTTTTGCTTTCTATTTCATTAATTTCTGCTCTTTATAATTTCATGTTTCCTTAATTTTGTTGGGATTATCTTGTTTGCTTTTTTAAATCTTGCAACGGGTACTTAACTCATCAGCTTTTGGCCTTTCATCATTGTTAAGAGATACTTTTTTCCCTTTAAGCATCGCTTTTGCTGCGTCCCACGAGTTTTGATGCATTTTCATTATTGTTCAACTACAAATGTTTTGTAACTCCACTTCATTCTTCTTTGACCCATCAGTTATTTCAGAACAGGTATCTTAATTTACAAACATACATAGAGCTTCCAGTTACCTTTATACTTCTCAATTTGTAACTTTCTACATTATGATCAGATTCTCGTTTTTGAAATGTGTTGAGACTTGCTTTCTGGCTCAGAACATGGTCAAATTTTATAAAAGTTCTGTATGTGTCTTCGGTAGTTCTTGGTTGCAGTTCCCTATACATTGGCTAGAAGCTCAAATTATTAATTATGTTGTTCAAAAATTCTGTACCGTTAGAGACATGTTTTTTGCCTCTTTGATGAACTACTGAGAGAGGTGGGGAAAGACCTCCCACGCTGATTATATAGTTGTCTCTTTCTCCTTGTAGTAAGTTAACTTTTCCTTTATATATTTTGAGGTTTTGCTGTAAATGCGTAATCATTCCTGGTGAATTGAATCTTCTATTTTTACAAAATGACCTTCTGTATCTCTAATAATGCTTTAATTTTAAGTGTATTTTGTCTGATATGAATGTCACTATACACGTTTTCTATCACTTACATAATTACTTGTATGATTTCTCTCTCTCTCTGCCTTTTTATTGTCAACCTATTTGTATCCTTATATTTTGGATTTCTCTTCCTGAGCACAGGGGAGGGGAGGGGCAGAGGGGGAGGGAGAGAGAAACTAAGGCAGGCTCTGCACAGAGTGCCAAGCAAGATGCAGGGCTCGATCTCACGTCCCTAAGATCAAGACCTGAGCCGAAACCAAGAGTCAGAAGCTTAACCAACTATGCCACTCAGGTACCCCCCCCCTTCTTTTTAAGTCTTATTTATTTTAGGGAGGGAGAGAGAGGAGAGTGTGTATGAGCGGGGCTGGGGGTGGGGGAGGAGCAGATGGAGAAGGAGAGAGAGAATCTCAAGCCAACTCTCCGCTGAGCGTGGAGCCTGACACGGGGCTTGATCTCACGACCACGAGCTGAAACCAAAAGCTGGAGGCTTAACCGACTGAACCCCCAGGCTGAACCAACTGAAACCCCTGGATTTGTCTCTCCTAAACAGCATATGGATGTATTTAGTAATTCTATTTGACAATCCTATTTTGACAAAACATTTAATAAAATTAATGATATATTGGGGTTTCAAGCTATCCATTTTTTTCCCAAGCTACCATTTTATTTTGTGCTTGTATTGGTTCCCCCTGTTTTTCTTTTGCCTCTTTTTTCTTGACTTAAAAAGAATTGAGAATTTTTAAACTTTTCAATTATCTTCCCCTCTGTCCTAGTTTGAAAATTTACATTCTGTTGCTATGATTTTGATAATTACATCCTATTACTTCCTACATACATAATTACCTTTGATAAAAGCCTAGATTTGAGAAGTACCTAAATTGCTTCTAATATGAAATGAGGTTCTTGGAAAGCCTGAGCTCACTTTGGGTGCGCCTGACATTTCTTCCTACTGTGAAGTACTTTAAGTTTATTTTTTTGAAAAAACAGAATGGACGTTTATTATGACTCCTTCTTCCATCAATGTTCGCTTGTGTTGCCCATGTACTATTACTTTCCTTGCCCTTTATTCCATCCTGCTTCTCATTCTAAGATAATTTTCCTCCTGAAGTACATCCTTCAAAATTTCCATTAGTGCAATCTGCCGGTGACAAACTCTCTTAGTTTTTGTTTGTCTAAAAATACCTTTTTATCACCATCTTGTGGAATATTTTCCTGAGAGATGCTGCCCTCGGGGTCCCAGCTTAGCCTGGAGAGGGCCTTTTGTTTTGTAAGCATCCCCACTGGGCTCTGACTGCTCTGACTTCAGATGAGCCAGAGCCCACCCCCCCGCCCAAGTATCTGCAGGTCCTTAGCTACTTCGAGGGAGAACAATGTCTCAACAGGACTGTTGGAGATGCTTAAGGGACATAATGGATGGAAAATTTCTGACAAAGAAGAGCGAGGCAACCAAAGGTAGCTATTATTGATTCAACCGAAAGTTTTAGATCCTGATCATGAGGTAGTTTTTAAAGTTTATGTTTTGCAATTGAAAAATAACACGTGGCCTCCTTAGAGCCACCAGAGCCTGAATCGTTGTGATGGAAAGTGTCACCTGACACCCCAAAACATGAAGCCAGAGATAAGGGAAGCTCAGTTTCGCAAATGCTCCCCCAGCCCCATGTGGAAAGACCCTCTCTTTGTCCTAAGGACATAACCCAGTACACCTGATACACCCTCCATTTCCTTTCAACATTTCTGCCAGAGCTCCGAGGTCTCGTCTTTGTCTTCTTCGATGCCACCAGGTCCAGCCATTGATCACCTGCCTTGGTGATGAGACCGTTCAAATTCAGAAAAAGAAGCTGCTTAGGGGCCAGGGTCAGATGTTGTAGTGCTGGGAAGCCAAAGGAACAATCCAAAGTTAGCCCCTAAGCCACTGCCAACATCACCCCTGACTCTCTAGGGTCACCAGCCTGCCTTCTCCCTGCCTCTACCACCCCCCGCCCACACTGTTCCAGCCACAAGAGAGAGGCCAAAATCCTGAGATGGAAGGCGCTTCGCTTCCAAATTTGGACTGTATGCTCCAAGGCATTCCAAAGAGTAAGGCTGGAAATAAGAAAGCAGGAAAGAATAGGCAAAGTATCTTGACAGCCTAAAGAAGAACCCCACCGGAGCTGACAGGGCATCCAGTGTTCACTTATTTCCAAGCCACCCGGGTCAAGAACAAGCAATAGTAACAACCTTGAACTTGGATGGTCCACTTAGGCGGGACATACTACCCACCACCCTGAGCCCTGGGAGCCCCACAGAGACCTCCTGGCTGCACTGTACATTAGGGAAAGGAGACATGCTTTTCCAGAACCAGAGGTAAGGGAAGATAGGGTATGATGGGCTGGTCCGTGTCCCTCCAAAGCACATGTTTTGCACTTGATCTAGCCTCTGCTACATCAGAATGTAACTGCTTTTGGAAATGGGCCCTGAAAAGAAGTGATTAAGTCAAAATGAAGCTGTGGGTCCTAGTCCAATCTGACTGGGGTTCTTATAAGAAGAGGAAATTTGAGGGGTGCCTGGGTGGCTCAGTAGGTTGAGTGTCTGACTCTTGGTTTTGGGCTTTGATGTGATCTCAGGGTCTTCAGATCCAACCCCGCATCAGGCTCTCCGCCCAGTGGGGAGTCTGCTTGAGGTTCTCTCTCCCTCTCCCTCACTCTCTTTTCCTCTCTCAAATAAGCAAATAAAATCTTAATTTAAAAAAAAAGAGATTTGAACATCAGAGCAGGCACAAAGAGCATCAACCCTGTGACGAGGCAGCGAGAGTGTAACTATCCACAAGCCCAGGAGAGAGACATCGGGAGCAACCAGTCCCGTGGGCAGGACTTCTAGCCCCCAGAACTGTGGGAACATCCATGTCTGTGGTTTGGGTCACGCAATCCGTGGTACTTTGTTATGACGGCCCTTGCAGCCCGGTACATGCCGCCCCTGGCTTCCGACCCATTCACCCGGCAGCCTCTCAGAATTACCTGCAACGCAGGCGAAAAATACGAGCACAAAACCACTCCTGGCTCTAGTCCCAGCAAAGGAGAATCCTCCGGATACGCGGCCCAGGAATCTGCATTTTTAACAAGCGGCGCCCCCCCCCCCCACCCCGCAATTCTCAGGCAGTACTGTGGTGAGTACTGGTGAAGAGCCTGGATGCCTGAGGACCTTTTCCACTTTCAACGGACACACTACCACCTTCTTCACAGTAAAAGAACTGGGGGAGCCGCTTTGCACCGAGACGGCTCTAATGCTCTTTTTTCTCTTCCCACCCCCAAACCCATGCAAAGGTGAACTACTTTTATTGTTGATTTGATTTCGATCCCGCTCGGTGTTTAATGCACCCGGCTCGGAGGCGTGGAGTTGACCCCAGGGAGAAGAAAGAGAGGGAGAAGGGAAGAGTCTCGAACTCTCCCAGGCTAGGCAACCGAGCTGCACTTGACGCGCGGCGGATCGGTTGCCCCCCTCCCCGTCCCCGTCCCTGTCCCTCCCGCCCCCGCGGGCTTGCATTTGCGTCCGGCTGGAGACCGCGCGGGAGCCCGCCTCCGCGCCCCGCTGATTGGCCGCGCCGGCCCGCTCGTCACACTCTTTTGTCTCAGTGGGCAGAGGATAAAAGCCGCGGCCGCTGCCGTGGGAACCGCGCTGTCTGGACTCGACTACCCCTCGCTGGGAGGAGGTGCAGCCGCTCGGCGGGCAGCTCCCGGTCGCTGGGCGGCCGAGGCCGAGCCCGTCCCTCCTCTTCCTGCGGGGCTGCGGAGACGGGAAGGCGGTTGGCAAGGCCGGAGCACAGGTAAAGAAAGGGGGTGCGGAGAGAGGAGGGGAAGCCCCACCTGTCCTGGGCGGCTCCCCGCTCGACGCATCGAGGACTGCGAGGGTTAGGAGCACTCCCTCGGGCGCTGAGGGAGGAGGTGGGGTGCCACTGGGTGCTGCCTAACGGGGAGGATCTGCCTGGATTGGCGGGGGGGCGTTTTCGGGGGGGGGGGGGAGGAACGCAAGCTGCCTGCCTCGAACCCCCTTTGCATCTCCTCGTCTCCTCTGGAGAGGAGTATTTGGGTGTGCGTGTCCCACTCCTATTCCCTGTCTCCGTGGCAGGCCATCAAAGCCGAATCCGAACTTGAATTCTGCGCGGCGGATTGCAGAGCTGGTAGGCCAAAGATTTCCCGGGGGAAATGTTCTGGGGCGGGGGTCGCTTTGGCTGGTAGTCAGAAGGTGGGAGAGGAATTTTCCGCCTGCAGACAGCGGAGGCGGCGAGGCGGCAAGGCGGCGAGGCGGCGAGGCGGCGAGGCGGGGGGTTGGGGGGAGGGGCGGCGGCGGGGGTGGAGCGGGGAGGGAGGGAGCGGGATGAGGGGATGAGGCTGCTCCTGACCCTGCCTGCCCTGCCCTCCGCGGCGGCGCAGTCTGGACGCTCCGAGGTCCCGGATCGGCGACGCCCGGTGGACGGAGATCGCCCGGAGCCCGGAGACGAGCGCTCCCACGGAGGCCACCAGTTGCAGAAGCTGGGAGTGAAATAAAGGCGCGCGCGCCTGTTCCTGCGCTCCGGTAAGAATCTGGGAAATAACGGGGGAGGGGGGAACTTTGAGAAGGGGGTGTGGTTGGGACCTGAGACCGAGAGGTCGATGAGACTTTATTTATTCCTACAAATCTGTGACCACTGTGCTCTATTTTGAGAGCCCAATAGCAGTTTCCATACACTATTACACTTCGAATTAGAAGCAACAGTTGCCCTCCCTGCTGGACGACTGGTGGGAGGGGATGGAAGTGGCTGGAAAAGTACCCTGCTAGCAACGGAGACACCGGCTGGCTCCGTGAGCTTGTAATGGCCAGTCTCCTAGAAGATATTTTTAGGGCAGTGGGCAGATGTGAAATGTACTGTCGGACGTTCAGGAAGGGAGAGAACAAAACTGCAGCCAATTCCCTTATTAACTACTCCCCCCGCCCTTTTTATCTTTTTTACAGCCCCTGCTGAGACAGGAGGAAGGCAGACCCCCCCCCCCACCTGCGCACCTGCAGATCAGGCTTTTCCACAAAGCCTGAGCATCTCGTTATACTCGGTCCCGCGGCCCTCCCCAACATCGTCGTCAGTCATGGCCAGCATCATTGCGCGCATGGCTAACAGCCGCCGGCAGAACGCGCCGTTGCCGCCCTGGGCCCATTCTATGCTGAGGTCCCTGGGGAGAAGTCTTGGTCCTTTAATGGCCACCGTGGCCGAGAGAAACCTGAAGGTGTTCTCTGGGAGGGTAGGGCCTGGGGAGGGGGAAGAGAGCTTTGAAAACTGGCTGATCCAAGTTAATGGGGCCCTGCCCGATTGGAACATGCCTGAGGAGGAAAAGCTCCAGCGCTTGCTGAGAACCCTGCGAGGCCCCGCCCGGGAGGTTATGCTTTTGCTCCAGGCGGCCAACCCCAATCTAAGCGTGGCAGATTTCTTGCGCGCGATGAAATTGGTGTTTGGAGAATCTGAGAGCAGTGTGTCCGCTCACGGTAGATTTTTTAACACCCTGCAAGCACAGGGGGAGAAAGCCTCCCTTTACGTGATCCGTTTAGAGGTTCAGCTCCAGAAGGCTATTCAGGCAGGGATCATAGCTCAGAAAGACGCCAACCAGACTCGCCTGCAGCAGCTCCTTTTAGGGGCTGAGCTGAACGGGGACCTGCGCTATAGGCTGAAACACCTTCTTAGGGTGTATGCAAATGAGCAGGAGCGGCTCCCCAGTTTCCTGGAGTTAATCAAGATGGTCAGGGAGGAAGAGGATTGGGATGACACTTTCATTAGGCAGAAACGGCCCAGAAGGTCTGAGCCCATGGTGGAGAGGGCCACCAGCCCCATGGCCTTTCAGGGCTCCCCTCCCATAGTGGTGGACAGCGACGACTGTAACGTGATAGAGATAGATGATGACACCCTCGATGACTCCGATGAGGATGTCATCCTGGTAGAGTCTCAGGACCCTCTGCCGTCCTGCTCGACTTCTCCTCTCCCCAGACGCGGGGCCGGACCGCAAGAGCAAGTGCTAGTCATTGATTCCCCCAGCAGTTCCCAAGCTCAATCTCCCGCCACCAGTGGGGGTTCTGGGAATAAGAATGGTGGTTCTGGGAATCTGCGTCCAGCCAGGAAGCGAAAACACGCGCTGCGCTGCTCCTCTTGTGGCTTGGAGGGCCACTCCAAGGAAACCTGCGACAATGAGGGCAGCAGGGCCCAGGTGTTTGAGAATCTCATCATCACCCTGCACGAGCTGACCCATACAGAGGAGGAGGGGCTGAGAGGGGCCCTGGCTGAGCCAGATGACCCTTCTGAGGAGCAGTGAGGCAGTAGCCCCCAGCCTTAAGTGAACCCTAACCCATGCACAGAGTCCAACAATGCGATACCGGGGAGGGGCGCTTCCAACTGCATGAATCCACAAAGCAGCTTTCTTGGCAGAGCGGAGCTGAGTAGGAAGGGGCTTGGATACCAGCTCAGTGAAGGGAGCCAGCCAAACCCCTGCGCTTGCTTCCCCACTCCCCACTCTGCTGCCTAAGGGTCTGCTTCCTTTGTGTGCCCATTTCCTTGATGGCTTTATTCTCTGTGAAAGTGAAATCGTTCATCGTGAAGTCTCCAAACAATAAAGAAAAGTACAGAACAGTGAAGTGCCGGTGACCCCAAGCCCTCCACCCCGATCTAACCATTGTCAACCCTTTGGTGAAAGCCCCTCCTAGGCATTTCCCTCCGCCTGCCTACCCAGATAGATCTATGTATAGATAAAGTGCTCAAATACAAGTCCTGTTCTATAGTCTGTATTTTTTCACCAAACAGTTTATGTCGTGGGCTTCTTTCTATGTCAATAAATATATATCAGCATCTATTTTTAATGTCTGTGTTATTATTTTCGGAAAAGGTAAAGGAAAAAGGGACAAGAGAAATAGTGAAGAGCTATAAAGGGGTGGGGTTTTTTTTTTTTTTTTTAATCAACCTCGATTTGTAGATGTGGTAAAGGAAAGAAGAAATGGGCTGAAACAGTCCCCAAAGGTAGATGGACAGAGCCGCTTGCCGCAACTGGCCTGTCCCGCAGGTCATGTGGCCAGATTATGGCGTCCGTTTGTTGACCGCCCCCATTGCTTTCTTCTCTACTGGATCCAAAGGAGTCCGATGGAAGAGGAGTCTGATGCTGAGGTAATAGCCCCCCAAACGGGGATTCCAGAGACACTGTTCCTGGTCACTGTGAGGGGACGAGTGCTCTTCCTCTTCCAGCTGGATTCCTGCTGCTGCTTGTGGACATCGGGTCACAACGGTCACAACATGTCGCAACAATCACAATGTGGAATCTCCCGCGGCCGGACACCACCCTCTCCTCACTCCCCAGTCAGGGAAAGGAGAGAACGGCTCCCCCCGTCCCCCAGCCCAGCACGGGAGGCTCAGCTCCTGGTGGCGCCAGAGCCGTCCCTCATAAACCCTGAAGTGATCAGCTGGAGGACACAGGCACCCCGCGACTCCAAGCCAACCCCTCCCCACCCCCAAGAATTGAGACTAGCTGGGAGGGACGACAAGCCATCTAGTAGCCCAGAGGCACCTGAAGGAACCTGTGGATCGGGAAGCCCCACCCCGCGTTTCAGTCGAGTGGGGGACGGAAAGAAAACGTGGACCTTCTTGGAACCTGTCCTGTCCCATCTCTGGATCTCATTTGGAGGCTGATAAAAAAAGGATGCGTGTGGCCACAGTCCCCCCACCCCCAGGGCCCCTGTGTCTTGCGTAGGTGCGCACGTTCCAGTTTCTGCGAACAGGACAAGGCTGGGGGGTGGTGGTGGTGGTGCTTGCATTTAGGGCAGGATTCGGAGAGGGAACTGAATGCGCAGACCTGAGGCCCAGGTGGGGACGGGCGTTCTTCGTGCCCAAATTGGGGACTCCTCTGTGCGGGAGAGCTTAGCTTAGTGTAAGCAGCAGTGGCAGTGGACACGTCGGGGGCGTCCAGGGAGAAGCACAGTGTTGTTTGGGGAGGGGGAGCTAGGGTGAGGTCGTGTTGACTGGGGAGACACACAGAGATCCGCAGCCTTGCAAACCCTGGGAGAAATTGCAGAGTCCAGGGGTCATACAGAGCTGCGGGATGTGTTGTCCTGGGAACGGTGGGGGTGAGGGGCCCTGGGAGAGACACTGGGGTTTAGGCTAGCAGTAGGTGACAACTCAGTAGGGAGGAAGGGGTGCAGGCTGAGGCCCCCAAGGCAGCAGGGGAAGCCAGGACAGCCTTCCTTGGGCTGCCATACCCAGAACTGGCCTTGAAGTGCTGCTTTTTCCAGAAAGCCCCTCCGCTCCTCCCTGGCTTATTGCTCCTGCTCCACGAATGACCTCACCATCTGACTCTAAAACGCGCAAAGGAGGGGTGGGGGGGGCGCATATTCACCTCTCAGTGGTGATGGTGCTGAGGGTTGGAGGCTCCGCCTCCTGTGCTCTGCCATCACCCCTCCCCCACCCCAGCCCCCAAAATTGCCTTAATCCTCAACCTTCTTTCTTAACTCTCATGGTCAGGAGACTGGGTGGGCCTCTCGGCCTCAGATCCCCAACACTTTACAGTTTATGTAGATTTTCACACCTAACTCCTTTCCATGTCTCCCTAAGTCTCCCCTTGGGAGGTATCTACCTCCCTTATCTAGTCTAGGTTAGAATAGCAGTCCACTTCCCAATCATTTTTTTCTCAATTTTAGTCTAGAAACACTTATCCAATATTTGTCCAAAGACATGGTTTAGGCTGCCCTAATTTCTTTGTGGCACCAGGTAGAATAGAAAGATGGAATGAAACATCAGGAAGTTCTGTCCATTTCCTACCCTCCTTTTCACTGGAGTGAGTTTGGGGGTTCAGTATAGACCATGGTTTTGAAAACCTGCTCTGTGATCCATCCCCTTTTTCTTCCCTTGCCCTCCCCTCCGCTGTGTAAATTTGAGATTGTCTAAATTTTTATTTCACCAGCCGGATGTAACCTGACATTTCTTTTTTTGTTTCTCTTTAAAGAAAAGAAAAGAAATATGCATTTTCCCTAATTAGAAGACATGAAGCTCACACCTGGGCATTCCGATCAGATTAATGGAGTTAGTCTGAGAAGGGCCTCACTGAAAGCTGTAGGCTAAATTGCAACGACACAGAGCTCAAGAGTATTATGCTAAGCGAAACAAGTCAATCAGAGAAAGACAAAAACCACGTGATTCACTCAACGGTGGAATTTTTTTTTAAGATTTTATTTATTTATTTGACAGAGAGATCACAAGTAGGCAGAGAGGCAGGTGGACAGAGAGGGGGAAGCAGGCTCCCCGCTGAGCAGAGAGCCCAATGTGGGGCTCGATCCCAGGACCCTGAGATCATGACCCGAGCCGAAGGCAGTGGCTTAACCCACTGAGCCACCCAGGTTTCCTTAACCGTGGAATTTAAGAAACAAAACAAATGAGCAAAAGGGGAAAAGAGAGAGAGAAAGAGAGAGAGGCAAACCAAGAAACAGACCGAGCTCTAGAGAACACACTGATGGTTACCAGAGGAGAAGGGGGTGGGGGGATGGGGAAAACGGGGGGCAGTTGGCATGATGAATGCGGGGTGACGTATAGAAGTGTTGAATCATTCTATCATACCCCTGAAGCTTCTCTAACACCGTATGTTCCCGAACTGTAATTTAAATAAAAAACTTAAAACAAAATAAAGCTATAGGCTAATTTACTTCCTTTCTGCCTTTATTCTCATCGGTCGCTAAGAGATGAAAATTGCTCTTTTGTCTTGTCAGAAGAATCCGGCCTCTCTGAGTGCCCTTTTGCGTTAGATCCCCCTCCTTCCTGGTATTCTCTCCCCCTCGGTTTCCATGACACCCCTCTCTCCTGGTCTCCCCCCTCCCTGATCTGGTTGGTGCCGCTGCTTAGTCTCCTTGGCTGAATCTCCTTCCTCTCTTCTTGATCCCTCCACGATCCTAATAAAAAGAAAAAAAAATCCTTACAACTGTGATTTATGATGAGCTTATTGTGGGCTGGGCAGCCTGTACCAAAGTCCTTTAAATGCATTATTAGCTCTCTTAATCCTTTTATTAAACCCCCCCAAATAGGCACTACCATGAGCACATATTTCAGAGGAGGAGATGGGCAGGGAAGTTAAGAAACTTGCGTAGGGGTCCTGCAGCTGGTTGGGGGCGGAGGTCAGACTCCAGGGTGAGAAGGGGCGAGGGCTTTAAGGCTGGAGCCACGATCATCTGAGTAAACTGAGGTTTGTCTGTTCGGCATAAGGTGACCTGCCTTTCCCAGGTGGGCCCCATGTAGGACTGGCACAGGGCCTGAGGGTCCCTCGTAGGCTCACAGCAACCACCAGCTGCTATTTCTCCTCTAGAATGCGTTACTCTGCCACGGAAGGGAAGACAGGGACAAATGAGAGGCTGTCCAGGCCATGCAGACGGGTCTTATTTGGTGTTCATCTGACAATGGGACAGTCTGGTCGCAGCAGCGACAGTCGCCGAGTGGATTCAGAAATGCCTTAGAGTTTAGTGGCGATGGTGATGACGATGACGAGGATATAGGGTGAGAAGAGAACACTTGTTAAATGCTGAGGTGCTGTCTCCCTGTTTTCTGTGTCCCCAGGGAATGTCTTCTTCCCCCACGTGTCTGTCCTTCCGAAGAGCCAAGTCTTCCTCCACCTAAGACACTCCCCTGAGCAACAGATGGGGGGCAGGGGAGCTCATCTCAGAGAGACACAGAGACTCCCCAGTGTGTGGGGGGAAGGGGATGTGACAGAGGTCTGAGGAGTCCCTTATGATCCAGGTAACCTTGAAATCCTGGGATGTCAGGGGCAGCATAAAAGGGAACAGAATAGAGTGGGGCTGGGTCTCCTGCCTCCCGCTGACAGGATGTATGGCTCTCTGGCTGCAGCTTCTCATCTCAGGACACAGCTGCCGGCCTCTTATGGTCCCTCACAAACACTCCTTCAGATACGTGCTGCGTTCACCGCCCCATTTTACAGACCAGGACGTTGAGGTACACCCAGTTCTAGTAACTTGCCTCATAAGATCAGACAATGAATAAAGGCTGGAGCTGGAACCGAACTCAGATCTGCCCCTCGCCGGAGCCAGGAGTCTCTCCTCAGCTGTAGGAGTCATTCTTTTTTTTTTTTTTTAAAAAAAAAAAAAAGATTTTATTTATTTATTTGACAGACAGGGATCACAAGTAGGCAGAGAGGCAGGCAGGCAGGGGTGGGGGGGGAAGCAGGCTCCCCACTGAGCAGAGAGCCCAATGTGGGGCTCAATCCCAGGACCCTGGGATCATGACCTGAGCCGAAGGCAGAGGCTTTAACCCACTGAACCACCCAGGCGCCCCACGTAGGAGTCATTCTTATGGGTACAAATGGTCTCATTCTACCGGCTGCATCCCGAGTAGGGATGTCTGAACTGTCATACTCGCGAGGCAAAGTCTGCACAGCAAGATGGCCTCCGTCTTGATTTCTTTTATTGACCAGGACAGCAGAAAAATGATCAGTTTAGGAAACTTCCTTCTCAGAGTCTGAAACCATCTTCTCCTCATATTTATTTTTATATCCAATTTCTGGGAGAAGATACTAAAAATAATGGGCTGTTGGTAAGGGTGTGGGCAAAGAGTCTTTCTCCCACACTGCTTGGTAGGACTGAGAACTGACACATTCTTTCTGGAAGGCCAACCGGGAAATGTATCAAAGGTTGAAATATGAAAAGCCCTGAATCCAGCCACTTAACTTTCTGAAATTCATGCTAAGAAAATAACTGAACAAGTGTAAACAAAGTTTTACAAACAAAGATGTTTACCCTCGCTTTCTTGGGTCATAGTGGGAAGCTGCGAACAACTTGGAAGACCATGAGTAAGGTTTGGCTGAATAAAGTA